TCCCTTACTGTGTCCCTTAATCTGTCCGTTACTGTGTCCCTTACTGTGTCCCTTAATCTGTCCATTACTGTGTCCATTACTGTGTCCCTTACTGTGTCCCTTAATCTGTCCGTTACTGTGTCCCTTACTGTGTCCCTTAATCTGTCAAATAATCTGTCCATTACTGTGTCCCTTACTGTGTCCCTTAATCTGTCCGTTACTGTGTCCCTTACTGTGTCCCTTAATCTGTCCATTACTGTGTCCATTACTGTGTCCCTTACTCTGTCAAATAATCTGTCCATTACTGTGTCCCTTACTGTGTCCCTTAATCTGTCCATTACTGTGTCCATTACTGTGTCCCTTACTGTGTCCCTTAATCTGTCCGTTACTGTGTCCCTTACTGTGTCCCTTAATCTGTCAAATAATCTGTCCATTACTGTGTCCCTTACTGTGTCCCTTAATCTGTCCATTACTGTGTCCCTTACTGTGTCCATTAATCTGTCCATTACTGTGTCCATTACTCTGTCCGTTACTGTGTCCCTTACTGTGTCCATTAATCTGTCAAATAATCTGTCCATTACTGTGTCCCTTACTGTGTCCCTTAATCTGTCCATTACTGTGTCCCTTACTGTGTCCATTAATCTGTCCATTACTGTGTCCCTTACTGTGTTCATTAATCTGTCCGTTACTGTGTCCCTTACTGTGTCCATTAATCTGTCAAATAATCTGTCCATTACTGTGTCCCTTACTGTGTCCATTAATCTGTCCATTACTGTGTCCCTTACTGTGTTCATTAATCTGTCCATTACTGTGTCCCTTACTGTGTTCATTAATCTGTCCATTACTGTGTCCCTTACTGTGTCCATTAATATGTCCATTTCTGTGTCCATTAATCTGTCCATTTCTGTGTCCCTTACTGTGTCCATTACWGTGTCCCTTACTGTGTCCATTACTGTGTCCATTTCTGTGTCCATTAATCTGTCSATTACTGTGTCCCTTACTGTGTCCATTACTGTGTCCATTAATCTGTCCATTTCTGTCTCAATTACTGTGTCCATTTCTGTGTCCATTTCTGTGTCCATTTCTGTGTCCATTACTGTGTCAATTTCTGTGTCCATTACTGTGTCCATTTCTGTGTCCCTTACTGTGTCATTTTCTGTGTCCATTACTGTGGGAAGGCTGAACAGATATATGCTTCTTTTAGCTTTCAGCTACCAATAAGCTACTTTTAGATTCTAGCTGCAATATGCTACTTAAAGCTGCCAGTTTGCTACTTTTAGTTTTCTGCTACCAATAGGCCACTTTGAGCTTTTAGCTACGAATATGCTACTTTTAGCTTTTTGCTACCAATAGGCTACTTTTAGCTTTCTGCTACTAATATGCTACTTTTAGCTGCCAAAAGCTACTTTAGTTTTCTGCTACCAGTAGGCTTCTTTGAGCTTTTAGCTACCAAAATAATACCTTTAGCTTTTAGCTACCAATAAGCTACTTTGAGCTTTTAGCCTCCTATATGCTACTTTTTACCAGCAGCTAAAAATATGCTACCTTTAGCTGTAAGATACGAATATGCTACTTTCAGCGTTTAGCTACCAATGTGCTACTTTTTAACCTTCGGCTACAAATATGCTACTGTTAGCTACCAATGTGCTACCTTTCATTTTTAACTACCAATAAGTAACTTTGGGGGTTTAGATAACAATGTGCTACTTTTATCATTTTGCTACCGGTATGCTAATTTGAGCTTTAGCTATCAATATGCTACCTGCCATTTTTTATTTTTAGCTTTTATGTAAACTTTTGATATGTTGAGTTAGTTTCTTTTAGCTACATTTTTATATTCTTTTGCTACTTTTAGTGAGCTTCACTCATGATACTTTTAGCCTTTCGTCACTTCATCTTATAGTTAGCCTTTTGTTAGTCTTAGCTAGCATTTTGCTACAGACTTGTTAATTTAGGTTTTTAATTTTGGCTTTGATAATGTAGACTTTTCACTACATTTTTTGTAATTTTAGCTTCTTTTTTTAATTTAACTTGAACAGATTTCAGCTATCGATCAACAGCTACAGAAACAGTTTAATGTTTCAGATTAATTTCAAACATTAATTTATAAATAAATCCTGAGCAGAGGTTCGGTTCTGCTTGGGTCGACGGCCGCTCGGAGCGACTCGTCTGTTTCGGCTCGTTAAAAACAAGCCGACTCCGTGTTTGTGTGACGGCTTTCAGCGCGGCGTCATTGAAGTCGGCTGTCATTTCCTTTGTCCAATCCGCTCCAAGCTAATTTGCATGAAATTACCAAAAGAAAAAAAACCTTCTTGAGAGGCCCCGGGGCCCCTTTTACACACACACACACACACACACACACACACACACACACAC